TGAACCCCGAGCTGCCGCTCGAGCCGCTGGGCAGCCTGCACGGCGCCGCCGCCGCCGCCGAGGCCGAGCTGCTGGGCAGCCCCAGCCCGCACCAGGGCGGGCGCGCCGCGCCGCTCCGCGCGCCGCCGCCGCAGGAGCCCGCGCGCGCGGCCATGGTGCCCAGCATGGCCTCGCTGCTGGACGGCGCCGCCGAGTACCGGCCCGAGCTCTCGGTGCCGCTGCACCACGCCATGGCCATGCCCTGCGACTCCTCGCCGCCCGGCATGGGCATGAGCGGCACCTACACCACGCTGACGCCGCTGCAGCCCCTGCCGCCCATCTCCACGGTGTCGGACAAGTTCCACCACGCGCACCACCACCCGCACCACCACCACCACCACCACCAGCGCCTCGCCGGCAGCGTCAGCGGCAGCTTCACGCTCATGCGGGACGAGCGCGGGCTGCCCGCCATGAACAACCTCTACGGGCCCTACAAGGAGATGCCGGCCATGGGCCAGAGCCTCTCGCCGCTGCCCAACGGGCTGGGGCCCCTGCACAACGCCCAGCAGAGCCTGCACGGCTACGGGCCGCCCGGCCACGACAAGATGCTGAGCCCTAACTTCGAGGTGGGCCACGGCGCCATGCTGGCCCGGGGCGAGCAGCACCTGCCCCGCGGGCTGGGCACCCCCCCCGGCGCCGTCATGCCGCACCTGAACGGCGGGCCCCACGGCGGGCCGCCCGCGCCGCCCCCGCACGGCCCCGCGCTGCCCGCCGCCCGCGAGCGCCCGCCCGCGCCCCCGGGCCCGCAGGTGAGCGGCGCGGGGCAGCTGGAGGAGATCAACACCAAGGAGGTGGCACAAAGGATCACGGCCGAGCTGAAGCGCTACAGCATCCCCCAGGCCATCTTCGCCCAGCGGGTGCTGTGCCGTTCTCAGGGGACCCTCTCGGACTTGCTAAGGAACCCGAAGCCTTGGAGTAAGCTGAAATCCGGCCGGGAGACCTTCCGCAGGATGTGGAAGTGGCTGCAGGAGCCCGAGTTCCAGCGCATGTCGGCCCTCCGACTTGCCGGTAAGTGCGGGAGCCGGGGCTGCTGCCCGGCCCGCGGCCGCCCCGTGCCGCCCCGTGCCGCCCCCCGCCCCGGGGGCGGCCCGCTCGGGACACAGCAGCACCTCGGGCCGGGCTTGTCCCCGCGCCTGTCCCGCTGGCTCCGCCGCGCTCGCTGCTGCCGGCAGCCCCCGCCGTTCGCTCGCCCGCTGCACGCAGCAGAGCCTGGCAGGCAGCGACGGCCCCGCGCAGCGCTGCGCCCGCAGCGGCTCCCCGGGCCGGCTCCCCCTCGCCCCGCGCCGCCGCCGCGGCCCCCGGTTTGGCCGCTGCTTCGCTCCGCGCCGCTGCGCGCCCCGCTTCCCTGCGCAGCGGGGCACTGCTCGCAGGGGCGCGCAGAGAAGCGACGGGGGCAGAGCGCAAGGTGCGCGGAGAGCGGCGACGCGAGCAGCGCGCAGGCAAGGTGGACGGCGCGCAGGGAGCGCGCAGAGAAGCGTCGGGAGCAGCGCGCAGGGGGGCGCGCACAGAAACAGTGGGGTCAGCGCGCAGGGGAGCGCGGGGGCGCGCGGGGGGGTCCGCGGCCGCATTGTTCCGCGGGGCGCGGCGGGCGCCCCCTGGCGCGGGCGCAGCGCGCGGCAGCCTCTATTGTTCTGAAACGGCCCCAAATCGGCGGAGCGCGGAGCGGGGCCCGAGGAGCGGATTGCGCGGGGGACCCGTGTTGAGGGGGATAGCGGGGCGACACCGTCCCCCGACCGCGGGGAAGCGGCTTGGCCGGGCGCGCTCCGCGTTGCTGCGGCTGCCTCGGGGGACGGGCCCCTCGCAGTTTGCGCGGAGCGCCCCGCTCTCCCCGCACGCACCAACGCGGAGCTCGCGGGGAGCGAGCGCTCCGTTCCGAAGGCACCTTTTAACACATCGCCTCCCCATGGGGATTCGTTATTTATCTCGTGCCATGTGGAGATAAAGGGTAAATAGGTGGAGTGCGGACAGGCGTGCGCGGGCGGTGTGCGCTGTGTCCGCCGGCGCTGCTGTGACAGCAGCGTGTTCACGAACACCCTTGGAAAATTAGGAAATTTGCTTGGACAAGTCCTGCGCTCCTTTATTCCTATTGATTCCGACCCGGAGCGATCAATTTCTGCGTGTTAGTCATTAGCAGAGTTTACGCGTGCTGCAGCCTCTCGTGCCGCGCCGTTCCCAGCCGGAGCACACGGAGTTGGAGGGAGGGAAGCCCGGGGGGCTCCAGCGTTTCCTCCTGCCCTGCTCAGCCGCATTTGCCGCCGTGGCCATCGCTCCGGGGCGATGCGGAGGCTGCTGCTCCCCGGAGAGCAGGAGGTGTCCGGGGGTAGAGCTTCGCTTTGCTCTGTGGGGCAGAGAGCCCCCGGGGGAGAGAGGGGGGAGGTATCCCCTCCTTTGTTCCTAGCGGGGGGGTTGCGCAGCTGGGAGATGAGAGGCGACTTCCAGCTTCTGTCCCCTGCTTCCTCGATCTGCCTTGGAGCTGATTAATACGTGAGGTTCCGAGGGACTCATCTGCATCAGCCCGGCTGCTGGGGTTCCGTGACACTGCCTGGAGCTGCCTTGAGCGGGGAGCCCGTCCAGGCGGTCCTGCTCCCATGCAGAACAGGCAGCAGATCCCAGTTCTCCCCAGCTCCCAGGCTGGTCTGCGGGATGAGGGTCTGGCTGCCGTGATGAGGGGGCTGCGATCACAACACTGGTGTCCATTGGGCCTCCTGAACCCATAGAATAGGCAGAGAATGACACGCAAGCATCCTGCCCTTCCAAGGCACCCCCCTGTGAGCCTGCATGCACCCTAAGCTGAGTTGAGAGCTCCCTTTTTGCCACAAGATTGTATTTGTTACAAGTGTGTGAAGGACTCAGGGCATCTCATAAAATGCCATTTCTCTCTCTCTCTCTTTGCGAGTCAGTGGGTTTCTCTCCTTTTTTTTGCGGGATGGTGAGTGGCGGGCAGTTGGGTGCAGAAGGTCTGCATGCTCGGCAGCTCCAAGTTGTGGAAGGAGTCAGAGCAGGAGGAAGAGTTGCCATGAATTATGGATGGTCATAATCCCTGMCCAACCAAGGGCTAGAGATGCTGTGGGTTAAACAAGCACTGGCCCAGAGCCTCCAAATGCCTTGCTGAGGTGGCTGGGGATTCTTCAAGGTGAAAGACGCTTTGCACACCTCCCCGCTCCGCTGCCTTTTACAGCAGCCCTGGCTTTGCAGGCCGTGACAGGCCTTGCTTAGCCGGGCCAGGGGCAGTAGGGCAAAAAGCACATGGCTGCAGAGGGCATTGCAAATCCCCACTGTCCTTTSCAACACCCTGGGCCGAGAGGGACAGATGTTCAGTCCTTCCCCATCTTCAAGCTCGAGGTTGTCCGCAAGCAGAGCGCTGGTGCAGGGAAGGGGCCTGGGCTAGTTACAACAAGCAGGAGGAAGGGGAGCCCTGCCGATGGGGCCGCGGTTAATCCCAGCGCGTTGCTGCCCTGCAGGAGACCGCACGTTGCTTTCACCTTCGCAAGAGCGACTGCCTGTGGTCACCTCCTTGCTCCCCCCGTCACTGCCCGCCTCCCCCCGGCCCCCAGACCCAGCTATTTCGCATTTGCAGTGGGAGCGCGGGGCCGCCCCGGGGCCCCCGCACCTCACGCAGCACGGGCAGCCCGTGCCCCCGACACCCGCCGCCGGCCCCACCGCCGTCGAGCCGCCCTCCCCGGCGCTTCCCGCGGCGCTGCGGGCGCCCCGGCCCCGCGCCTCGCTCGCCGCGAGCACGCGGTTGTGTCGCCTTCCCAAACAGACGTGTGCGTGGAGGCCAATCGATGCAGATAATGTTTAGAAGATTAAAAGAGCATTAATGCTGGCAACAAGAACATAAACGTGCGGACCCGCTTTCATTGATCTGGAACCTGATCCGGCTTATTTCCAGTAATGCTGCCGGGGCTCTTCCTTCCCAGCACCTCGCTCCCGCCCCTCCTCTCCTCGCCGGCTCCCCGTCCCTCGCAGGGCGCTGCGCAGGGGCGCGGGTTGCGCGGGCAGCTGAGCCCGGGGCCGCGCCAGGACGGGGCAGGCGAACGGTCTTAGCCTTGCCGTGCGCGGAGCGGCTCCTCTGGTGTCCCCGCCGTTTCGGCCCCATTTTGCTCTTTTTGGCCGTGCCCACCCGGGTGTGCAGCTCCGCCTGAGCCCGGCGCAGCCCCGCGCGGCCGGGCCGGCTGCTGGCCGCGTCCTGCTCGCAGGGGTCGGAGCGGGCGCTGGCAGAAGCCGCTTGCTCTGCGGCCTCGCCCCCCSACAGCCCCGCACAGCCTCCCCGCAGCTCCAGCCCCCGCCGCTCCGCTCCGCACTGTCCCCATTGCCCGGCGACCTGCGGTGGGAAGGGGAGATTCCCGGCCGGGGCTTCCTGCCCGGCACGAACGGCCCCGTCTGCGGCTCCTGCTGCGCGCGGGGAGCGGCCGCGCCAGCCCCGGCCCCGCATTGATCCTTGCGGAGCAGGGAAGCCGCCTGCGACGGCAGGGAGGGGAGCGGGAAAGACCTCCGTAAAATTACCGTCCCTTCGGGAAATTGATTTTATATTACCACGTGTGAATATGCAGCTTCATTGCCTCGATGTTTCTTTTCCCTTTATTCTCCCGCTTCAATGCCTCGGAGCAGGAGGAATGAACCGAAAGTGCTGCTGTCAGGTTGCTGAAAACCGTTTGCCCCTGTGCTCTTGCTGTAAGTTTCCCTCAAATGGAAGGGAAATATGCTGTCCTTTGAGAGAAGGCCTTTCTCTCCCCCCAGGAACTGTAGAAGAGGGATGTGCTCATTATTTATTATTTAAAGGATTTCTAAGTCCGTTGATCATCTTCAGCCATTTTTGTGCAGGAATTACTGATACTGCATAGGACAATTTTGTGCACTATGGGGACATAAAACTGCAAGCAGCACTTGGCAGCTCCTATGGAGGTGCAGGAAGCTCTTGCAGTTCAAATTTCARGTATTATCCTGATTCCAGCCAGCTACAGAAATGCCAGCAGTGCATTCTCTACACAGATTATTCACATCCAATTACATTTTACACAGACCATCCTAAATATGTCCTTATGTTAACAAATACTTTGCAAGCCARGTGCTTTAAAGATATAAGAACAAAATATCATCCTTTGGCATAACTGTGCACATACAATTGTCTTTGGAAATATTTGGAGGGCAAGTAAAATGAGAGCCTAGAGGGCTAAGGCAGTGATGAGCAGCGGGAAGGAAGAACTACTGCATCTGGAAGGATCTCCGCAAGCCAGAGGGTCCTGCACAGCACATTGCAACAAAGGAACTCGTTCTGCTGCAAGACGAATCTCCGAGAAACCTCAACAGGAACATCTGGATTTGACAAAGACTCCAACTATGCAGAAGGAAACAGGAAGAATTTTATTTCTAGAGAGCAGCTATCAATTTTAGATAAACATTCTCCTAAAAAATAAAAGATAAAATCTCACCTTTCTTCAGGTTCTCCCTGTTCCTCAGCTGTCACTTCACCACCCTTGGATTTCCCCCTGAAGTCATGTAAGCATCCTCTGTGTGCCAGGGAAGATGYGACAGGGAATCTGTGCACAGAAGAAACACTGTGAAATTAAATGCAGAGGATGTGTAAATAACAGTCTTATCTTTAACAAGGAGGGAGCGTGCGGCTCCCGTCTGCAGCCCCTGCAGAGGCTGCGCTGTGTCGGTGCCCGGGCTCAGCCAGGCCAGGCAGCGAGGCCCGAGGGAGCAGCCTGCCCGGGTGGCCGCTTGCCACAGTGGGGCCACTTTCCAGGGGCTGGTGTCCCCCGCAATGAGCTGGCTGCGGAGGGCGAGCAGGGCTGCAGCACAGGGCCGCTGCCCACGGCGGCTCCCGGGGCTGCGTGTGGAGAGGAGCGCTAATCCAGTGGGAAGAGGAGCCCTTTCCTGTTTTATGCAGGGCCAGGGAAACCTTTCATATTGATCCTATTGATCCAGTCCTCCCCATTACGGAAACCGCATAGTTAAAGACCCCYGTTCAATAGATTTACCCTTCATGCTTGCAGTACTCTTTT